TGGCCAGGCATAGGTTTACTAATCATTTTTTTGTAAGTGATACAATTTGTATTCTAATTGCTTGAAGGTTTTATATTTAACAAATTTGTTTTTGTTTGACCCTGGTCGTAGGAGCATTTGGTTTTGTTCAGTACAAGATGTATCATCTGATTATACATATATATTTTATGTATGTGTGTGTGTGTGTATATATATATATATATGAATATATAATTAGTTTACCTAGTACCTCTAAATAATGACTTCCGGTATTTAAAGATTTTTTTTTAACTCATACTAATTTGTATCAAATATTTACCTTTGATTCAGGTGATTTTGGCGGGACAGTATCTCATCAGAATTAGGGTGTTCAACATGGATTAACTGTCGAGCCAGTTGATTTACCACTGCAACCCGTGATGCATTAGTATTCATCTCTTGTTCAAAACCTTCAAATCGATGTTTTATGATTTCAATTTCTTCCATATCTTGACTCATTACCATTGTGCTTAGCATCTTCTCCTTTACAAAATGATGATATACTTCTATTAATGCACTAATCAGCGTAAAATATAATAATCTAATGAATTAAATTTAAGATAGAAAATTTCTACCTAATGTACTATCTGTTAAAACATTCATGACATTTTATTAATACTTTCTGTTCTATTATCATGGTTCACACACCTTGGGCAAAATGAAATTCCTTGACATTTCCCACACCTTTCCTTGACCATTTGATCTATACTTATAATGTATCATTACCTATAATACAGTGTAAAACTGCAAAAAATTACTCTTGTATATTTTTAATAAAGACAAAGGTAGAAGTCAATTTGCTTAAATTCCATCCTGCAAAGTTTCGTTATGATCAGTCATGTCATTTTCAAATTACTGATACTTTATCAGAATATACACAACAAAAGTAGTTTGTCCATTTGTTTGTGATAATGTATACCAATCACATTTTTTAATTTTAATCACAAAAACGTTATTACAGCATAAACAACAGTACACTTTTTAATAATTGTGATTATTAAATTTCAACTTTTAATACACAGAAGGAACATGTGAATGTCCCCTATAGTAAAATGGAATATTCTTTAATCAGTAAGCTTCAAATATGTCAAATTATATTTTTTCTTATGTCCAAACATACACAGAAATGTACAAAACTTTTGTTTGTTAACTATACACTGCAACAAACTCATATTTTCAATACCTATAAAACAATTACACATTTTAATGAAATCATCCAGAGCATATTGTATTATTTTCACACATGCTTTGAAAATGTGTGTATCAAGTTCATCTTTATTAAAAGTAGTCAAATCTCTGAATCAACATGACCATGTTTATGGATAGATCACATTACTGAAAATATTTTCAGGTTTACACAAGTTGTGTTTGTTTACAAGATTTCCAGATTACTTATATTTACAAATAATTATGTTGTAAATTCTAACTGTAGAAACAGGATAGGACAGCTTATACACTGAATCAGATCTGCTGATAAAACATCTACAAGATTTATAGTTGTATTATTACTATGCACCAACTGTCCTCGTAGATACTATTGTAACTAGCACAGTCATGAATGTTGCTGTACAGAAACAAGTTCATCACTGACAGTGATACTGCATAATAAGCATTAAATCACTCAACTAACTAAGTGTCAAGTTTTCATTTTGTTCTGACATAATGTTCCTTATTACATTAAATAAAAAAATTGCTTCTAAGCAAAACTTTTACTAAAAGTACTTACATTATTTTTATTCTAGTATAGGACTTGAACTTAGACAATGAGAAACACTAAACCATTGCCCATACTCGCACATTATAGCACTACACAATTGAAATATATATTTCAATCTCATGGGCATAATATAGTCTCAAATCCCATGGTGTCAAAACAAAACTGAAAGTATTCATTCAAATTTGTCAACTTGCACATGTTCATCTTTAACATCCAGTCTTTATTCTTTTATGTCTCAAACATCTTGTTTGTTGCTTGACAAACAGTATATTTTCTTAATATATTGCTCGGATATCCAATGAATTATGAATTATTAGGTAAACAGGATGTATTCAGTTATTCACTGATGTATGTTCAACTTTTTCTACAAAGATCTATGGATAACAAATAACACCATATTCTTGGAAATGCTTACATATGCCATATTATTAGTTACTGTCAATGAAACATTCTATATTTCAGTATGTTTTAATTAATTTTTCAAAAACTTGTTAGTATCTCCAAAGCATTGAAATTATTTGTTGCCAACCTTATTTTGCTTTATACCAATTGTACTACCCATCATGACATCATGTGCTAAAGGCAATGCTTCGTGTTGTATATTTTGTTTTATAACAAATTAAAACAAAACTACTGATAAATCATTGTTTTACATAATTATTGTATTTTTGATAATTAACCTTATCCAAATAGACTTGTGTATTTCACACAACCTTGTAACCATGGTGGCATACATACTATGATTCTGAAAGTACTTAATGTATCTTCACAAAATTTGGCAAGCTTTCAGTAAACTTTAAGTCTTTTGTAGACACAAAATTAGAATTTTTAATTAATTATATTTACTAAAACAATACTTAGCGCTGTATGTTTTGTTCTATAACAAATTAAAACAAAATTACTGGTAAATTATTGTTTTGCATAATTATTGTATTTTTGCTAACTAATTGAATAAATATAAGTACAGATATAAAAGAAAAAGAAAAATTCACCCAAACTGTGTAGATTTGTTTCATCTTTTAACTGCCAAGCTTACAAAAATAATCAAACCATTTTTATTTTGACATTTTTCAAATCTTTACACATAAATATATTAACAACATAATATACCACGAGTATTGCCTCTTCCTTCTATTAATTCATTGAAATTTGTAGGATGAAATTAACTTGCTTATTGGAAACAGCTTATCACTAATTTGTTAAAGGCATTTAGTTTTAATCTGTAGTAAAACTACTCTGCATGGCTTAGTTTTAGAAAAACAGCTCAAAGCCTTGTCCAGAAACCTTACACTCCATTTAGGCAGAAACTTAGCTATTGTTTACATTACCTAATAAGGCTGCCTTTATATTCCATGACAATTAACATTAAACAAAAAAAATGACATAAACAAACCAATATCCATTCATTAAATAAGCATACTGATGTGCCAGAATTAACCTTGTGTGGTTTTTTGGCACTAATGATATTTTATTTGTTTGACATTTGTGTCCTAAAAGCATCATTAATCACAGGAAATTTGCTGAATTTTCCCAGATTTTGTCTGGGAAATTAAATACCCTAATGTTTTCCAGGCTGAAAACAAAATATACCATTCACTGACTTTTCCCAGTTTCCTAGATCTGTGGGAACTATTTGTTATTATGTCAACTCGGATTAATAGAAATACAATATAATAAATATGCAGCAACTGAGACTGAACTGAGCCAGAGAAAGCATTTAAAAAAAATATAAGAATATAAATTGGAGAAAACACTTGAAGTTTACTCTGAAATGAATATTATAGCATAAGCAAGATGACAGGGGATAAAAGGAGAGAGATGCCTGTCACTTTTCTTTTCCTGTAAGATATAGCATACACACAACATTCATAATAATTAATTCAGACGTTTTTTGCCTCCCCAAATTTTGGTCCCAAATCCCACCCATAATTCAATAATAATTGTAAAGTTATTAACAGGTGAATGAAAATGTGTCAAACTTTAATACTTTAATTACTGGTTCAATAATAAGATTACTGGACAAAATTTTAAAAATCCTATAATCAAGTAAGATAAACTGATAAACAATTGACATTTTGTTACCTGTGTGCTGCTTTTGAAAAATTATATTGTCAAAGATGTATATCGTACATTATCAATACCTTAAAAAAGGTTTTTGGAACTTTTTACACAACAACATCCTCTCTTATGCAGTTTTATTCTCATGAGTTATCACATAAATCAAAGTTATCAGCTCTATTTAAATGTGTCACACAATACCTTTTCATCTATCCATTGTTCTACTCCATCTGCTTCATTGAAAAGTTTGTAAAGAGATAAAGCATCCAGAAGACATTGTTTTCGAAGTTTTGTACATTCTAGAAGGTCCTTGTATCTATGATCAATACTAGCAAGACGTTCCATGACCTCTGGGGACTTTTGATCCTTTAGTAAAAAATAGAGTTGCACAAAGTATTACCACCAATAGTCCACAAAAAACTTTATGGCTGCTGTTAACTCTTTCGAAAGAACAATAATAAAATATCAGAATGATAAGTCAACAGCTACAAAAGTAAAATTAAATAATAACCAACCTGTTCACCCAAGTTCAGAGCTTGTTGATGTAAAGAGTCAACAGATGTGGCAAAGTTCTTCAGGTCATCTGTAACCTCCTGATGAAAAAAAAAAAATAAGTATTTAACTAACCCAAACATCGAATGAAAAAAGCAATCTAAATAAACAAATATGGGATTATAAAGTATATATGCATCATTGATATTATTTTTTGCAATTCAATAATTATACATTTAAATACAAAGGCAAACTTTTGTGTTTATAAAAAAAAGTTGTCAAAACTCTTCAGTAATTTCAGTTTTAAACACGGAGTACAATACTATTGGAATGATTACTCGGTTATTCTGTCTTAATCAAACGTACAGGTGATTAAGAAGAAAATCTGATGTTTAAAATTATTATATCTTAAAAACTACTTAGCCTAGGAGAACAACATTTCACCAGAAGCACCCCGAGAATCGTAAAAATCACGTCATACTACGTACTTAAATCTTTTTTTTTTTCAACCTTGCATCAGTTTCATTTCTCTTCTTTTTTTACTCTATTTCAACAATATTACATTGGTGATTTGAAAAAATGCATATCAACACACAGGATATAATAATCAATTAATATGTAATGCTTGCAGTAGCTTTACTTAGGGACAGATTTGATATGCTGATTAAGAATGACAGAAAACATACTGAACACTTTCAATGACAGTTTTTGGAACACCATATACAATGTCTAAACATTCCTGAATAAAACTTATGATTCTCAGAGTGTCTGGTGACATTTAATTCCTTCTAGGAGAGCTAGCATTTTCCTAATCTGAAAATGTATTTCCAACAGATATTTACTTTTTCACACAGAAATGCTATCTTCTTTATGCATCTGCTTTTGAGACTTGCATCCCATTTGTCTTGAACTGTGCTGGTGCATGATGATGTCATGATGCGACAAAAGCTCTCCCCCAATAAGAGGGCAGGCAACACAACCTCCATGCACAGTAGCTCCTCTTATGCACTTGCACTTGTGATAACTTCCTTCTTTGATGAGGCAAAAAAAAAAAATGTGCACCAGGAGTGGAGTGGATGTGTAAGAATGTGTTAAGTGGTGAGTATCTATCAGAAATATACTTTCAGATTAAAAACATGTTAACTTCCGAGACAGTAACCCACCTCTCACAAAAATGCTAAAATCCCACACTGAAATGATGGAGGAGCCTGTGCAAAAGTTTTAAAACCCAGATAAGCTCCTTAAAGAAAGTACCCAAAGGGAAGCCCATGGAGTTTGACACTCAGTGGCAGGGGTTCTGTAGGGGCACACCTGTGGGAGACCACATCTTGTCTCGATCAGGGTATACTCTTTACCTGGAATGTAAGAGGGAAAAGCAAATAAGCCCCTAGTGTCACAGGAACAGATGGAATGAGAAAATATCCACCCTAGCACTTACAAATAGTCGGGAAGCCAATATGTGTAGTGTGATTGAGGTGCAGCCAGACTGTACTATGTGTACATACCTCAACTCTACTAAACAGGCTTTGGCTGCAGGAGACAGGCACAACAGTTCTGTTGTATGTCATTATATCAACATATCATGCTAAGCCTAACTGGTGCTTGCTTCTTTTATGATAGTCTATGGAATAGGTATTTGTCTGAATCGGGCAACTGAGCAAGTATGTATACCATGATGATACCTCAAGTGGTCTTGCAGAACATCACATCCCACAGTGGGAACTGGTAGAGGCAGGGCTGATGGTTTGAGTGCTTTCTGTTATTGTGGCTTGATGTGAATTTTAGTAAATAAGCATACCCTGGGAGGCAACATCAGCCACCTGGCAGGATCCTAATAAATGTAAAGGGGAGCTGAAAAAGAATGTGTACTTACTTTTCTCAAAGATGGTGGGTTGAGAATGATAACATGTGAAAGTCAAAATCCAACATGAGGCAAAACAGCCAGATGGTGTACATAATGAGAGATGAATGTATAGGTAGTCGTCCACGTACCCACTTAGAGAATCTCAACCAAAGGTCAGCAACAATGGAAAGCAGGAGAATGAGTCAAATGACAAATCAAATGCGAAGAAATGTTAAATAGTCTGCAAGCATCCACATCCAGAGATGAATATACTAAACTGGAGAATGAGAAGGAGCCCAAAAGGAATAAGTCTGTGATAAGCAACATCAAACAGCACAAATAGGACACAGGAGCTGATGCAGGTCCAAATGATCATACAAGTGAGACAGAAGGAAAAGAGATAGGAGAGAATATACAGTGACCTTCCTGAGCAATACAAGTTTTAGGAAGGAAAGATCAGTCCAATGAAAGAAATATATAAATGCAGTGGAAGAGCATGCAAGAAGCAAGAGCATAGACATCTGTAAGATGGTACAAACATCAAGAAGCCAATGCTCAAACAGGGCATATGTAAGAGCATGCAAGCCATAGAAAGGTCCCAGTCAAGCATGGGAGTCACATGAGAGGGTCAGAGAAGAACAAAGGAGTGAAACAGGGTGGTCAGGACAAGGGAAGAAATGCCCTATGGCTCCAGGAAAGGCAAAATGAAATGGGCAAGGCTGCAATGGTGGAAACTAACAAACAATAGACTAATAGCCAGGTAAAACAAGCAGAAAAGTAGTTTCTAGGACAGCCAGGAGGAAAGAAGTAGCAGCAGACCAATAACAAAAGACCTGCCACTTTGGTTGATAGGCAGATATAGTAGAAATGTGACAAGAAGAATGCTACAACATTGAAGAACCCAGCTCACTGGGCAATGGACTGGACAAATCCCATACATGAAGATGGTAGGGATAACTATTGATGAAAAGGGGATGTATGAGGTTGAAGTAATAGAGAAAGGATATTGGGTAGAGGAAGGGAAGTTTGAATGCTAAGCAAAAAAGCAGAGAAATCCAAGGCTGAGATGGCAAAAGAGATGTCTACAATTGGACCCAACAAGGAGTGTTGCGTATCAAACCAAAGACCCTAAAGAGAAGACAAAAAGGAGGATAGGCATATAAAAAGAGGTGAGACCAAGCCTGGCTGAAATCATTAACATTCAGGTCAGAAGGATGAGAAACAGTTTGATTTGGTTTGTTTTGATTTTCATGAAAAACTACACAAGTGCTATTTATGATAGCTGTCCCTAATTTAACAGTGTAAGACTAGAAGAAAGGCAGCTAGTCATCACCACCCACCACCAACTCTTGGGCTACTCTTTTAACAACGATTAGTGGGATTGATCATCACAATATAATGCCCCCATAGCTGAAAGGATGAGCATGTTTGATAGGATGGGGATTCGAACCCGTGACCCTCAGGTTGTGAGTCAAGTGCCCTAACCACCTGGCCATGCCAGGAATGAAGATCAGAAGAGAAGAAGCCTGGAGTTGAGAAAGGTGACAAAGGCATTTATGAGGCATGAACTTACCTAAGAGCAATCTCAGTGAAAGACCTGGGGGTGTAGAGACAACTCCATTGGTAGAATGTGGACTGGCCAAGAAAGGCAGTCTGCCACCAAGTGCTTAGCTCCCAGCAAGTCTGAGACAATAAGACAAACCCAATGTGAATAGGCCGAGAAAAGTAAGTCCAATGCTCAAAAGCAAAGGGTCCTGGAATGGGCAACTACAGGAAGGATGGTGTAAGAAACAACCATGGAATTGACTGACTGGATCATGACCAAGTGATCCACCAGTAGGGGGCAGGAATATGAACATGCCCAACCAGCAGCAAGAATTCTATGCATGTTTATGTGAAGGGAATGCTTTCCTGTGCCCAAATGCCAGAAGTCATGTCATCATCCAGAGATGCATGTCAATCAGAGAGGGAAGCATCAATGAAGAGACAGATTCAGTTAGGAGTTGGCAAGGTAATGCCAGAAGTCATATGGGCACAGTCCAATCACCATGACAATTCCTTGAGGAGAGGTTCACAAATGAGGAAAGAATCTCATGGATCCACAAGGTCCCACTGGAGGAGATGTGTATGTGTGCATGCCTCAAAGGAATAAGGGATTACAGGGAAGCAAAAGATCTTTTTTTCAAAAGATGAGAATGAGAAGCACAGGTCCTGGTGACCAGATATGCCATAACTAAAAGGCAGAGAAGAGGAGACTGAACTCAGCTGAGACAAGAGATGAAAAAAAAATGTCTAAAAGTACCACATTTTGAGTGGGCATGAGAAAAGAAAATAACTTAGTTCTCATGACAAGCCAGTCCAACAAGTAGCCTTCTGCAAAAGAGAGGAGATGTGAGAAGAAGATACCATGCAAAAATAGGCCAAGAGAAGTTAATTGACCAAGAAAAAGAATGCCAGACCAAAGCCATGAATATGGCAAGCAAAGTCTTTCATGACACAAAGAATCCAAAAGGGGCCAACACTATGTAACAAGGAATTGGAATATGTGAACCTGATAGAAGGAACTTAGAAAACATACAGAGGATGGGTTAAGATGTATGTATAGGAAGGTGTCCGACACATCAACCATGGCCAACTGCATACTGGGTGAAAAAGACTATAGATGGTATTGGAGGGAAGAAAAGGGGAAATGGAGCAAAGAAAACTGAGAAGAGAGACGAAGGTGGGAAAATAAAAAATGACTGTTCGCATAAAATTAATAAACAGCATCCTACACACAGGGTCAGATAAGACATGATAGTCACAGACAAGAAAAGTGATGAATTAAAAATCTGGTAAAAGGAAGACCTGAAACCTAGAATGGTAAGTTTATGGGTATTCTGATCCAGTTGAAGAACAGGAGTAAAGGACAAGGTCAAGAAAGAAGAAAAAGCTGGGAAGATAAAGAGGAATGAAGTTGTACAACATCAGGGGAACAAAGTAAAGAGGGACAGAGCAGAAGAAGTGGAAGATGCTAAGCTCACAAAGAGATGAGAATGAACTTCTATATAAAACCCTTTTGAAGCACAATGAAGTGCCTCAGACAAAACATGGAGGTAGAAGAAGGAATACAGGAGGAGAGAAAAAGACGAAAATATGAAAAAAGGAAAACTAGAGAGCAAAATAGAAGACTAGGACCCTGATACCCAAGCAGGCCAAAGAGATATTAAGGCAGGAAATAGATAAAGAAAGAATGTCTATAATTCAGGACAAAAAAGTCATGAATGCAGGTCTGGGGTAAAAAAAATAAGGACACAGGCGAAATATAAGAAAAAACATACCTGAGAATGAAATCCAGAAGGAGACTAAAAGGTTTAACTCACTCCTCGAATGGTAAGGCACTACCAAAAGCAAATCAGGTTAAATTCTTAGTCCATTAAATCATTCACACAGAGGAGAAAGAGCTTCAGCCAACAGAACAGGAGTAAGAGGACCAGTAGGCATGTGGTAATCCACAACAAGTCAAACAATGGCTGCAATGTCTTTGATAGTTAACTCTTTTCATACAAGCCTCCTTTTCTGTGAATGTCACAACGTTTTACGAAGTTACATTCAAAATTTAATTAAAATGCTTTATTATCATGGTATATGTCAAGGTTTTATGTATATGTGGGCTAAGGATTCTTTCTCAAGTAGGTGTTTATGACTTGTTGGTAATAAATTCGACAATGAACGGACAATAACACTTTACTTGTTTTAAAATAATATTTTCAAAACAAGTCAAATGTATGTACGAAAAATTCTTTACACTATACAATATCACAGTTTTATCTAAAACTCTAAATAATTCTCTTTTCTTGTCAAAAGTCCATTTAGGCTGATTCAATTACTTTAGAATCCAATTGACAAGACAAACTATTTTTCTCTACTCTTATCACAACAGTATCAGTAAATAATTCATTTATGCTACTCCATAGGTTACCACAGATGTATCCTGAACTTCAAATAATTGTCTCCTTTTTGTTATAGTCTACACAGACAGGTTCAATTGCGTTAGACACTCTTTGACAAGACAAATTATTCTCCTTATCTCTATTAAACTGTAAAACTAACTTTAAAATATCGTTCATTAAGGCTAATCACTCACACACCAGCTAACTTCACGTTTTCTTTCACTAACTAATTTTTTTACTTTTTCATAATTGTACTTTACTTCAGTTTTTCTCTAGTTTCTGAACTTGCACTCACGAACCACCTATATATACTATATATACTGAGGTTTAGAATTTTGTACAAACTACATGACTGATGATTCAACAATACTCAGTTATGGTAAAGAGAAAAATACGAGTACCGTGATGCCACCAATATTAGTTTGTTTGTTTTGAATTTTGTGCAAAGCTACACGAGGGCTATCTGCACTAGCCATCCTTAATTTTTCAGTGTAAAACTAGAGGGAAGGCAGCTAGTCATCACCACCCACTGCCAACTTTTGGCTTACTCTTTTACCAATGAATAGTGGGATTGACCAAAACATTATACTGCCCCCATGGCTGAAAGTGTGAGCATGTTTGGTGGGACACCAATTTTAGTAAAGCTTAGACAACAATGTAATTGCAAACACAATGTACGACTAGTAGAGTTATGTAACCAAACTTGTCATAACAATTGCCTTTACAATAATAACTTTTAACTCTCTTGTTATGAAAAGTAAATTAAATATCAAATCACCAAATAAACGAAATAATAACACTTACACTAAACATTCTTGTATATCCAACATTATACAAATAAACTTGTCATCAAAACATAGCTAATAATCTAAATTTTAGTATTATACAAGTTTTAAGTTCTTAATTTTGTGAGGCATCATTAAAAAAAAAAATCCTCAATTTACTTTAGTATGAGAATTGTGGCATTTGCTCTCTAGGTATTTCCTCTTCTCTATTTTATTAACCACCCCTAAGAAATTCAAAATTCAACATAAATTACTCATTATATTGTTATTACTCAGGCAAAACATAACTTGTACAGCTTTCAATCTTATTTGGTTACAAAGCCAACCAGAAAATCAGATTCCTCTTTCTGCATCCACATGTCACAACCTCTCTTTCACAAATTGACAATAATTCTCTTTTAGATTTAACACTATATAACCAACAGAAAGCCAAGTAAGTGTTATATTACAGAGAAATGTATGTTTTCTGTACAGAGAATTGTTTATTTCACTTCTAATTCAAACTTTATTCCCAAGGGAAACACACTGACAAGCTTAGCTGAATTTTAATGGTGCTTGTCACATAGTTAGAAAGCCAGAAAAACTGTGATAGTTAGAAGACACTGTCTGCTTTTCATGTGTTCTTATTCTCTGTTCCTTGTTACATTATTTAATTAAATAAAAAAATTATTTAATGCAAAAATAAATTGGTATCAACATGTAGAATTAAGTTTCATCCACAGTCAACAGCAAAAACAAAAAAGAAGACCGAAGTAAGTACTATATTTCTTGTTGTTTGTGTGTATTCTTTATTTATTATTATAAAAGTAACTAAAATGCAACAATTAGAAACATTGTAGGTTAGCTTAGGTAAAATAAAGAAAAATAATAATAATGAAAACTTTTCACGAGGTATGCTCGCAAGCAACTCACGAGTAGCCAGTGCATTACATAATCGATAGGGTTAATGTAAACTATATGTTTGCCAAGTGATTTACAACTTGTGCGGTGGGAATATTAGTTAGACACGGTTCAAAGGGTAATAAAACAATAAAATTTAAAATAGTTTAAAGCTATTTACAATAAACAAATATAGTTTCATGTTACAATCTGAAGTATATCGTGTTTTTTATAGGGGTTACAAGGTCAGTCAAATTGACTAACCTCGTATAGAGTTAGGGTAGAGAAAATAACAAATAAAATATAAAATTTTACTAAAAAAAATGTTTGAAATTTATTTAGGAGGTTTTAGAGATAATGCAAATAAAATTTCTGAATTTTCAGATGAAGAAAAGCATTTTTGATCTTAACATCAAAATCACTTTGCACTCAGAACAGTCAACACTTGGACTCCATACATTCACAGAGAAAATTTTAGTAGAAATATTTCATTACAAATTCTGGTTTTCTGTCTACAAGACTCTTAATGCTTACTGAAAGCATGCAAAATTTCGTGAAGGTACACAAAACATATTAAAAGTTATAGTATGAAAACTATAAAGGTTAATTTGGTGTCACGAACTCAGCCAATTTGGTCAAGCCCATAGCAAGAGTGTTAATGAGCCTCCAAAGACCATAGAAAAATAAGGCCTGAATAATATCATCACCCACACAGGACTAAGAATTCATGATAAAATACTCAAACTTTTGAAAAGCCAAAGAAAATTAAACAAATACCAGTCTCATCAAATTGTTCTCAAATGAGGTAATTTTAACAAGTCTGTTCAAGGAATTCCCGAGGAGAAGAATGAAGTTATCATGATTGCAAGTGCAAAAGGGTGGAGTTACTGCACATGGAGGTTGTGTCACCTACTGGTGGAGGGCTTTTGTCTTATGATGACCTTATCAGTGCACCAGCCCAGTTCATGTTAAACATGTTAATTTAGGTGAAAGTTACCTCAAGGATAGTAGCACACAAGTCTCGTATAGGCAGATGCTCAAAGAAGATAGTATTTCTGTGTACAGATGTGAATTATCGTTTTGGATATTAGTTTTTAAAAAGTAATACCTATGTAGATGTTTTTTTTTTTAAATCATCTTGTACTATCACAAAATAAATTACTCAATACTATGCAACTAAAAAGACTAATAAATATATGTCACTATCATCTGAAGGCATTAACATCAGTAAATAACAGACATGGGTACAATGATTATATAAAACTTCATGAATAAATAAAACTAAACCTTATGTTTCTTCAGAAGTGACTGAACATTAGCCTCATCTCTACCCACATCTTCACTAGACACAACTCGGAGTGTGTCCAGCATCCAAGTGTCAATATCATCTGCATCTGCGAAAAACTATTCAGGAAATGATAAATAATTTATCCAAAAGCATCAGAAAATTCTATATACGACATATAATGAGCAAATAGAAAGTTATACTTCAGTGCCACATGTAAACTAGACCTTCAGTGATAAAAACTGTTGTGACAGTTACACAAATGAATCACATATACACAGTAAAAAATAAATGTACATTTTCCAAGGGAAAATAAATAATCAACTGAATGATAAATATAATTCAATTTCCAGAAATATAATAATTCTGTTTCTATTATACACTTTAGAAAACTGCACACAGGTAATGTTTATTGGCTTTTTTTTTCTAACATATAGCCTTCTATGACCAAATATAAGAAACTAATAACTATACTACTATAACAATTATTATTTATTTAAATACCAATACTAAAGACAATGGCACAGTGACAAGCAACTTGATTCTGACTAGTCCCAAATTAAACTGACATAATACACTCTTTGTTAGTACCCATGTAGGACCCTATGGTTTAAAATTATAGCTTACATGATACAAATCATTGATCACTAGAATTTTTTTAATGATGTCCATTAAGACTTTGGACTATCACTGAACATAGTTTTTATTAAATACTAAAACAATTATACAGTTTAAATATAATGTTAAATTGTTTTATTATTTTATCAATCATAAACTTAAAGCCTTTAAGTTTGAGAAACATAATATAATGTACTTTAAAGCCATGGCTTCAAGCCTCCTAAAGTTATTAAGAACTTAATGAATGACCTTCCCCCCCCATTCTTCAGTACTTGATGTTTACTTATGTAATTAACACTAACACCACAAATCACTTAAAACAACAAGGAATCATTTCAATACATACCCCAAAGTTCATCAGCTTTGTGTCCACGGCATTACCCTGACACTTCTCTGAAGTATTTCATATTAGAATTTAAACTTAAAGAAATAGGATATCATATCAGTTGATTAGCCACTGAATAAGACTTTCTGATATAGTATGCTTTTTCTCAAAAACTACTGATCGAGTAAAAAAATAGAAAAATATAAATGCTTCTTTTATATTTTGATGAAATAAATATTTATAAAAAATTATTCTACAGATACAGAAATATAAAATTAAATTATAAATGTACACAAAATTGGATTTTCAACCTGACAAGCACCTTATGTGGACATGTACTGAGTGTTCAGGCCAAAAAATTTTAGATTTTATATATATAGCCAGATCTAATTTTTTATATGTAAAGCAATTACATATAAAACTCAGAATGTTTCAATATGCAGCCTAACACTCTACCAACTCGGTCATGCCTTACCCATAAATGGGCCGATAAAAAATATTCCATTGTGTGTGAACAAGCACAAAATCACACAGAATAGCAAGAAAAGAAACATGCCGAGTATTTAGTTAAATTTAAGTGGTTCCAAGTGTATTAAGCATGTTTCAATTACAAATAAATCTAGAAACAATATATTTATTAACTTCAGCATTTCATTCCCTTATCTTCATCTAGATTATATTTCTTCCTATCCTAAAACCCACCAAATTCAACTTATTTAGTTACAAAACATTCTACTAAATGTGAAGAAAAAGGGATTGGATGTACAAGTAAGTTTTACTGCTAATATACAGGATTTTGAAAGTTTTACTTTTAGTAAAATTTATATGATGATCTATAATTCATATTTCTCATTACAATGTAGTAATAGCTCATACAGATACTTATTGTCAGATCTGGTACTTTTTCCAAGGCTAAACAAACCTGTCACAAAATATTTTCCTAGATTTTGAAATAACTGTCAGGTTTTCCTATCTTGTCATACTTCTCACATTTACCAGATATAGACAGACCTGACACTTTTTCGACATTTTGCATTTGTTTAGATATCCAATTTCCTACCCAACTCCAGGTTCAGTATTCTTTATCTAGACTAGTTGTGATATATTTATAAAAGTGAGGAAGAAATAATGCTAAAATTATCTTTACAGATTCATATTTATACAGTTCTAAAAGCATATCAATATTAAAACACTATTTGGGAAGTACTGAACATTAAACATAAAGGAAGTAAAATACCAACAATGGAAAAATTAGGACTAGCTTTAAGCCGACAGCAAAATAAGAAAGGTATTTTCAAAGTCAACAGACTTGAATTAAACTTTAAATATGAAGGTATTTAAGAAATTTGCAAAGTCTGTCTTACTGACCACCAGTTTTCCAAGAGATTTTAAACTGTATGAAGTAAAGAACTAAGGAAAAAGATAGTCTCTATTCTTAGCAATTGAAATTTTCATTAACATTTAAGACTAATTGACAGATGCACTTTAGAAATTTTATGTAATATTTTTACTGTTCTACAGTTCTTGTACTACTGGCCTTGATAATGCTGCAAGAGCAAAACACTGGCTGAAATAAAATATTTTATATTATTATCTGGAGAGTAAAAATCCTTTTTTTCCCTTCTAACTTTATTGCCAAAATGTTCTACAGTCTGAATAAAAACTCTAGCCATTGATCAAAGCTTGCACTAAAGCTGGCAGCAAACATGATACCAACAACGTGACAACAGAAAAAGAGAATACGAAACATCTAACCTGATGATAACTAACTGCCTCGTCAAGCCTCTTGGTGCGTGCTGATAACAGGTCCTTTAAGTTCTGCCACATGTTCTGAACTGAATTAATCCTGTCTTTGATATTCTCTGCACCAAAATGACCTGCTTGAATGAGATCTTCCCCAACCTTCATGATTTCATATAGCTGTTTTTCATGGGTTAATATCTCATCTTCTAAAGCCTAAAACAAACAGAAGGAACAAAGAATGTTGTTTTTGCATAAAATAGAAAGCATGCAGCACATACATAGTGTAAAAAATAAGCTAAAGCAAGTCATGTATAACCTGTAAATAATTATTTGTGGATATATAACATACCAGTGATGTGTGCAAAAAAAATATATTCTCCTGCGTCACACAATAATTTCAGATTTTACTAGTTCTAAATATTAGTTTTAAGTTTGACTGTTTACATAAATGGGTTACTTAATTTTCCAAAATGCTTAAATCCTCAGATGTTTTATAATTTAGTTTAAAATAAAAGAATGTAAACTATTTTTTCCACGAGTAAAAAGTGTCATGGACAAAATTACTTTAACACGATTAAACAGTAACCTCAGTGTTTAAACACTCAAAAGTCATAATGTAAAGGAAGGTTGCATTCATGAAATAAAACCACATACGAGTTGATTCCTCAAAACTATTACATAAATAGAAATATTCATACAGAGAGAGAAGTTGAAAACAGAAAGGTAGGACAATTCAGCTCACCTTATTTTTACTAATAAGGAGATGTACAGTGGTGAGATCATGTCCAATATCTCCCTGTAATAATATCTGTTCTTTCTCTTTAATCCAAGACTCTTCATCAGTTATGTCCCAATAGAACTGCCACAGCTTGTGGGACTCTTCTAGCTTGCTGCGTCGATCAAGAGCTAACTGCACCAGTTCAGAGTAGGCAACTTCAAGCTGCTGTTCTCGTACCTGGATATTTTGTGGACTGCATGCTTGATAACCTTCAATTTCCTCTAAGATATAACTGTCAGCTTGCTGAACAACTGATTTCACCCTCTCAGCAAGAATATTAATATCAGCCTCAATGAGGCTGTGTTTCTGTAGCAAGTCTTCAACTCCCATTAAATGTTTCCCATAGTCCTCAGTCAAGAGCCGTGCCTAAGTATAAATGTTAATACATATGTAAGAGTGTGTGTGTGTGTGTGTATGTATATATATAGATGCATGCATATGTAACAGTACATGTTGTCTTTTCATTAATAAACCTTCAACTATAAAAAGTTCAAATCAAATCGTTTTTCTTTCACTATTGCTTCAACATAAGTAATTTTGCATTACCTTAATTTCTTCCATTGAGTCAAGAATGTAGGTCATCTCTTGGAATGTTTGTTGCACAGAAAGTGATAACTCAAGTCTGGATCGACGAGCTTGCAGCAACTCCAACAAGTAGCTCCATAAACGAAGCACATTGTCTTTTCTGAGTAATTAAATATGAAGTTACTAGCAGTAGTATCAGATTAATTATATACCCTTTTTTGTTCTATGTTCCAAATCACCTCGATTCATGTTGGGCAACCAGTATTCACCTCATCATAAAATAATCTTTCTATCACACACCTTATAAGGTTGATTTCAATGTCTTACCAAACTTACCTATGTAGAGGTGAGGTGCTCATCCCCCCCCTAAATCCTACAAGGGGTCTTCTCCCAAATCTTAATCTGTGCCTACTTCAATTTGATAAGAAGGAAACTACGAACTACTATTTGGAACTAGTGTACATCCAAATGATATGTAGGCTATAAAGCAAAATTTAATTTTTAGATTTAAGTCTATCAATATTACATTAACATATATCATTACACTCAACATTTTAGAAAATATAGAACGATTGTGCCCCCCCTCTCCAGCAACTACAAGGGGAGTAAAATTGAACTACCAGTAATCTATTTACATTTTTATTTCCTTTCACTCTCCCAAAAGCCCTTGTAAACCCCTTTCTGTGTGTAGCAATGTGCAATATATGTTCAGACTAATGAAACATAGCAGTTTATCATTTTTTTTAATATTTATACACTTTATTTTTCAAACAAAAAACAATGTACCCTACATTATAATTAGTCAGCATTGTTAAGAATTTGAAACTTCCACATCCACCAGCTGTTTCATCACCCACCGTTTTAACTGATTCTGCCCCTATGAAAATATTGAAGGTTTTCTCCCAAATTTAAGTCACTCTTATAGCTGTTAGGTGTATGTATTAACTTTATACAAGTTTTTATAATAATTTATTTCATTCAATTATATTTTCAAACAAAAAGTTTTTTTTATGAATTTTACTTTTATTTCAATAATCTGAACTTTATAGATTTATTATAATTACTTTCACTAGTACGCTTATTGGTAATTCCAGTTGGATGTCTTTTAGTATTTCCACTTTTGCATGGCTTTTAATGGTAGTAAACTGGCTACCAAAATTATCTTTAAAATTATTTTGATTAGTGGCCATAATTTGCCATCAAAGGATAAATATGAAGTTCAAGTCCTATATTGAAAAGTACCCACACTGTCTTTTAAAATTCTTTATATACTCTTAAAAGGTTTGTAATAAAATCAGTATATTTCATGTTTGCACATAAACAGATAAAATCAAACACATCTAACCTTTATTTTATGTAATTTTACCAAATTATTTTGTATAAAGTTAACAACAACTATACAAATAACTACTAGTACTTGTAACATGCATCTAACAAGTACATGAATAGCTAATGATTCACGTGAAATTGTAACAATAGTTACAATGAAAGCTTTGAAGTACTTTCAACTAACTTCTCAGCATTTGTTCCAGTAATCTAAGAGTAAATGTAACAAATCTTATAAAAGATTACATGTTGTGGGTGACCAACAACAACAAAATAATATTTATATTGTTTACTTATTGAACGTATCAAACATGCTTGGTAGAATCCGCTTAATAGAACTGGTGTGCATACGGCACAGAATCATGAAAATTTTAATACATCTGGGATTGATTTTGGGTGAGCAATCATATATTATAAATTACATCCTCATTTTTTGTCACGTGGCCAACCATACAAATACTATCTTTTTTCATCTGTTCACTCACTTTTTTATTTTCTTCAACGTATTTCACTTGAAAAGACTGTTTAGTCAATTTATTCAAATTACTATTGTATTAATAATTTATGTATCTTAAGTTACTGGTAAATGGTATATTGGTTATAAATTTGCTAAAGAAACAAATTATTTATGAATTTTGATTAACTATCTTAACAAAAGAATAGAAATACCAAATTTGTACCTTGCATTAATTCTTCCAATATCGTGGTAGTTTTCACTTTCTAATTCTTTTGCTACAGACACAACAGCTTGGACTCTTTCCTCATAAGCATTTATGTCAGTCTCAATAGCTTCATGTTTCTTGGCAGCTGCCTCTACTGATGCAAGATCAATGCCAAAGTTATCCTGAGATACCAATCTCTGATTCTCACTCAACCATGTTTCTCTCATGCCAGCCTTCCTATCAAAACGAGCGGCAAGCTGCTCCAGCTTCTCCTGTCTAAGCATTGGATGAAAACATAGCAAAGTTACATTATACTTAAAATAAAGCTTAAATGCATTTCATATAATTTACAAAATAAAACAGAACATAAGAGTTGGTGATTACCACTAAACCATAAGAAGAAGAAAAAAAAAGGCTTCAATTTACAATATGTAGAAATGAAAATTAAAGAAAGCGAGTTATGAAAAAAGATAAACAAAACATCGTAAAATCAAATTCATTGGAAACTTTAATCGAAAATAAGTCATTTATTGATTATACATTTTTAAAATTAATCAGCAAGAGAAAGAATAGTATTTTTGTCAATCCCTTCACATTACCTATATCTCTACATAACTGTGACATATAGAAGCTTTACCTAAAAGTCTGAGTTAATTACATCAATAGATAAATTAACAGTTGTCACTTAAATGATTTGAAGTTTTCACACTTCACAAAGAAAAACTTGTGTTATCTATACAGGTATTGGTACCCTATGTGCATGAGCTAAACAGTCAGGTCAAACCCCTTGGGTTTAGGTATAATTATCAGGTATAACAAGGGCTTTGATCAATTACTTGGATTAACAGCTACTCTTATAACACGCCCATAATGTAAAGTATGTGTTCAGTGGCACCAAGGTAGAAACTTAGGTGCAGTGTTATACACATATCTTGCTTGTTTTCCTAAAAACTAATGTTCTACAATATCATTACAATCAGACTAAAATGCTCTGTTTTATAAAAATTGGAAGGATTGTTTAAAATCATACACATTGGACTTTTTTTTTAAAGGTTTCGAAAGGTGGATGCCAATCAAATGAAAACTTCCCTCTCTCTTTGAGTAATGTCAACATAAAAGTATTGAATTCATTATAATTTACTGGTTTGTACAAATATAAATAATGCATATAACAAAAATGCAGTGTAACTATGAAAATTATAATCAGGGTAACTTAAAAGTGATATCCAGCACTAATTCAGTACATCTTGAAATTAACATATTTCTTTTTCTAGCCTATAAAATGATTATTTGAGCTTTGTAATATGTGTTTAAAAATCTGAGGCTTCATCATTAGTTTAACATAACAAATTATTTTGATTACTGCATCATGAGAGTTAAATGCACTTATGTTACCTAATAAGTTCTTTTCTCAAAGCAAGTTCTTGTTCATGCTCTGCTCTTTCTAGGCTTTCCCAAGCTTTATTAATGTCCGAAATCATCTTTCCTTCTTTTGGGAAAAATGGTTTCTGGTTATTTGCTCTCATTTTACTTTGGAGGGTGAAAAGAAGCACTTCCAAGTTGCCTTTCTCAATAAACCTAGATTTAACAAAAAGAAAAAAGAATTACAAACATAAGCTGGCAGAGCTATGTTTAAATATTTATAGAAAAATTGTAAACAAAAATAAAAATAAATCTTATAATCTATCACATATCATATTAAGATGGAACACTATCCCTTTGTAAGATGAATTGCATTATAAATTTTTATTTTTGCACAATATAAAAACAATCAGGTAAAGCAAGTGCTTCAATAAGTAACATTTTATCTTGAATTAAAACTCCTCATACTGCAATACTGTTTTATAATTTTTCATCAATCATCGCACCTTGAAGATCATAAGAGGCCATGTTTGCTTCTAATTCTTGTTTAATTTTCAACAGTTGATTCCTTCACTAAAACCACTCATAGAAATTGAAAATGTTTTACTGTTATTTTACCCAAAACATATAAAGCATCATTATCAATAAAACGTTTACATGCCATAAAACAAATTAATACTAAAATAGTCCACTCAAGCTTTGGTAAAACAGCAATAAACTTAAAATATATCCTCAAGCATTACAAAGAAAATAAAAACACAATCCAACATAATCAGAAACACTAGATAAAGATGAACTACTCGAAGAAGTTTGCAAAGTATGCTACTAATATATCAAAAGTAAAAAAATATTATTTTTTACTCCCTCTTACAGTAAACAAAACAAAAGTGGGGTGATGCTATAGCAGTAAATAGTTTAAACTGAAACACATTATAGTAACTGAGTAAAACACTGAATACTACAAACTAAGAATAAAGATATTGTTGGTTAAATCATGAGGAGGGGCATGAAAGCTTGCTTTATAAAAACATGGAGTAACTGTCGTGCCAATACAGGTGTGACAGGTCAAATATAGAATGAAAATTATATAGTAATAAAATCTCAAATCAAATCAGGAATAGAACACATTCACATGTTGAGAAAAGTCAAAAATCTGCAAAAAGAATGCAAGTAAACAAATATGTCTTCAACAAATTAGGGGCTCACATTTGATAATACATACTTTGGAGGTTTTTCCATAGTTCGGTAGGTATTAAATGCAGCTAGCTGTTGCTGAACACCATTCAGAGAGTTGGCAAAGTGTCGATCAGAGAGTGCTTCAATAGTTTGCTCAATCCATTGAAGAAGATCTGATGTCAGAGTTTCATACTGATTTGCCATGTGCTCATTCTCCATGGCTTCTCCAACAACCTGTCACAGTACACAAACAAAACCATAATGAAATCAAAATATAAAGCAATGTATGTATTACTAAGTTTTTAAACAGTATTCACCTTTTGATTATGCATCAGCTATGCTTAGGATTATGACAAATCATTATAATATTTAAAAACATTGTAACAGTGAACATTTAACAACAACAAAAGACAAAGAACAATCCACAATTATACAAAAATTAGTTACCTTTCCAATACGTCTGCCTTGTACGGTCTCTGCTTTCATTTTAGAAAAGTAGTGATAAAAGGTTACCACATAAGTGATAATGGACTTTTCATCCGGACAGTCAACAAAAACATCTACAGTATGATAAAAAGCAATATTCTTTGGCAAAATACATATTCACAGCAATTATACTTATTTTTTTATACTGTCAAGTGAAAGTTTAAACTTAAACTCTAGAATAAGTTCAGTTTATGTAAGAAGCAAGACATGTAACAATAATGACATCTCATCATATTATCTTCAGTTAATAAAGAAGTATTAATATTAATAAGTCTACAGAATAACACGCAAATCTTTGTGTGGTTGACAATTAGTGAATATCTCTTAAAAGTATTTTATAAGAGTGATGCTTACAATTATGTAAATATAACTATTAAAAATCATTTAAAATTTACGAATTTTTAAAATAACCATTTACTGCATAATTAACTATTTTATAAAACTTTCATGCCACCATTATCTATTACTTTCACAAAAATAACTTGTGCAGTCTTTATAAAAACCCTAAGTACAACAGCAGTTAAGCAGCAAAATCAATCAACTCTCTTACAGCAGCAGAGGTTCATGCAACTAACCACAACATCACTTGGAGCAATGACACATAAAAGCAAAAGAGCATGTAAGGAACTAATAAGAATAAAAAATTAAGCTATTAGTTGTCAAGGGCAATTATGGTTTAACAAACAAACTTGTAAATATAACCAAATTCCTGCTCTTTTTTTCACTCTCTCTGTCTATAACACAGTCTGGAAATTCTATACTAAAAACAGATTTCAAAATGAAAGAGTGTGTTGCATTTGATGGTAGTAATAATGTTAAAATGAAAAACTCAAAGGTACAAGTATTTCCTCTTTATGATTTCCTACCAATCTTTAGTTACATTTTCAATGGGTTTCTTCACATGGTCAACAATGTAAAATTATCCCAGTTACATTGTAAATTTTACCAGTGAAATCCAAAAAATAAAACCTGATAATGTGCCTTCATTTTTCATTCCCTGCCCCAAAATTGACATATCATTATTGCCATCAACATCCAACAGCTTCCACATACAATGAGCACAAAGAAGTAGAAAAAAAAAGTTTGAAATACCTGGTTAGTGATTTAATTTCCAAGTCAGAGCAGTGAAAATATAAAAGGGATATTTATGGTGAATGTATCAACTGACTAAGAAGAAAAACTATATAAAAAATAACCCAAGAAATGGAGGAAAAAAACCTAACTTTTTACAAGAGCAGAGCCAATTGAATAATTAAAGACAGTGTTAGTAAACTCCATCTTCTGCAACAAAAGCTTAAAAAAGAAAATGTCAGTAGAGCAAAATATATAGATAATAACTAAAGATAATTAATACTCATTCAATGTTGAATTTATGTTACATTGTAGTACTTTAATTATTCTATTTTTCTTATCATTTGTGAGTTATTATCAATGTAGTAACAGCTTTGCAAGAGTTATGTTGAAATAGGATGAAGCTTACTGATCTTTCCTGTTTTGCAAATCATGTTATTTTTCATGTTTAATTAAATCTGAATTACTGCTACTCCTTGTAGTGTAGTAGATAGTTAAAAGTTGACTTCTGCATTTTTAAACATAAAATATCTAACTACTTCATTAAGGCTTGAAACTTCATAAACTATATGCACTTAAACAATATGTTATGCCACTCCACTTGCCACATGCAATACAGTTTCCCAGCTGTTGTCATGCACAGAATGCTCTAGCTTCACTCACATGGCTAAAAGACCAGTATCAGTAAATCTTAATTAACTAGCAGGGCACTGTTCCAATAATTAACAAACATTGATTCTTAAGATCCATGAAAGAACTAATGCAACAAGAATACTTACCTTCTGGATCGAGCAATCTGGTAAGGCCTAATTTCTCTTCAGCTACATTAAAAGCATTGTTGAGGTTGTAAACTGCATTAGATCTGGAAAGTCTTTCATACTGTATCAAGTCAGGTCTAAGGAAGAATAAAACCCATTCTTTTAAAAGTCTAACTTATTTTGTTAGAATAAAAATTAACACTTAAAAAAATATAAACAGCACACTACTGAAGGATAATTGAGCTCTAGTGAAAAGGAAAAATATGTTACTAGTGATCAGGCTTTTAGCCAGAGACTCAACCACCAGTCTTTTGAATGGGTAGTTTTCTATAAAAACACACAAAAATTTGAACAGGCGGATGACAAGACATGCAAAAATATGAAAAAAATTTAAGTACAACCGAAATATGTTTGTCAATGATGCAAAATGGGAAAATATTTTTATCCTTTACCATTCTGTTGTTCCTTTGTGTATTATTGCGTATCGATGTCAATCTGTACCTACATTGTAGGTTCTTTAGCATTCATGGTATCAAACAGTATTCTGACAATGACAGAGTTAAATATCAATTTCAAATTTGAACTGAAATTGGACTTTATTTCTGGAACAATTGTGAATAAAAATTTTTGAATGACAAATTTAACCCTATCTGGACCAAAGGCATGTCACTAATATCCCAATTGTTTCTTCTAGTGCTAATACTTAAACAAATTGAAAGATACTTTGAACAAATTTATCAAATAATATCAAAATCTGGCATTAAAAAATTCTTATAATTTGATTTATTTCTATAATTTTTTAAGTTGTAAAATTTCCAAGATTTTGTTTTTTAGCACTATTTTGTAAAAACATTAAAAATACTTCTTTTTATCTTAAAATTTAAATTTTCTTTCATCATTGACAGAAAGTTCCATTTTATATATCCAGACACTTTCAACTAGATGGATATTTATAAACATATTTCTTTTCATACTTTATTTTGCCAATTACAACAACCATCATTAAAGCTAAAAATCATACAAAAGCACATTGTGAAAACATAGCAAAAACTGACAGATTTATTGGTGTCCCTGGTCCTCATCTTCCAAAATGGCATCATCATCATTCCTTTGTCCATCTACAAGCTACTTTATTTATGTAGGTTGTTTGGTTATGATAAACTTATAAATAACATTCAATAAATAAGAAGAATTTAAGTCACAAGAATATTTTGCCATCATCACCTAATATTCAGTTAATTAGAATAAGCTAAATTTGAAATTTCCTTTTTAATATATTTTTGATCCAAAATAGAAGATATGACGATATGCATCTGAATTCTGAAAATATAAGATTGTTGATTTTGTTATTTCACTTGCTAAACATATGGGAAAAGGTAAGAATCAATGTATGTAAAAGCTATTAAATTTTTATTAAATCAATATCAGAAATACACCAGAATGCATTTCAGAGCATCTAAAACCTCAAAAAATAAGCAGATCACAGGGGTTTATCAGTTATGTTTTCCTCAACACAACATTCAAGGTATCAATAATTTGAAATCACAAGTTAAATAAAATCTAATTATAAAGCACTAATAAATTACCCATGAAAATTCATGGAAAACCAGGAATTAATCTAGGATTTTAGTTTGTACTTTGAAGAGGCTGAGTAAAAGCCTGAAATGAGCACTGCTCTGCATTTTTACTTATTTTTTCACTGGCATATTGATTATAGATTAAACGACTTTATATATAGATCATGGTCAAAAACTTAATGATATCTCAAATGGGTGACATTAACACAACATTGGTTCTACTGCCAATACAATATACATGTTGTTTATCTCTAATGCAGCATTCAATAGTTTTTTGTTTTTTTTCAAACTTTACATGATGTTACAAAATAACTTGTAAAGGAATTTTGCATTCATATAACTGTATTGTTGCATAACATGCACCCATTTATACTTTTGCTAAGGACCAAAAATAAATCAGTAAGAATGTATTTTTGAAAAAATGTGTTTTTTTATGTTAATATAGCAGCAAAAATAAATTGTTAGGAATCGAATAAGTAACAGCACATATTGACACTTCAAATTTAGGAAAATCAAAACATAGATAACTTATTTTGAACAATATCTTAAATATTCATATTAACTTTCATGTAAACCTATTGATCTAGTGCTCAGAGTGCCAAAAAACCCCATGTGGTAGCTCAGTTTCAAAAATCTGAATTTAAGTTATTGTTCTAAATGGCTTCTTACACACTGATTCCAATGTTAAAGTAAACTGGTCCAGTCAAACTGAATGGCCCCCAAAGCACTATTCTTGATCCTTCCCCCCAACTCTTATAATTATTTCAAAACTTTTCTTCTTTTATATGCTAGTGAGTTCAAAAAGCTACAAGCAAAATTTCAAATTCGTTTGTACACAATAGTGGGAGAAAATAAAAAAAAATCAAGTAAACACTGAAACAACTGAGAATTACTAGCAAAACAAAGTGGACATACTACTCATATGAAAAGCTATAAGAAAAAATGAAATATTCTAGTCTAATATATAAAAACACAACTATTAATTTCTCTATTGGTAGAAGTAATACCCTTTTTGTCCCAGAAATCTAAATTAAATCTGTCCTTGTGAAGGTTGGATAAACAACAGAAACATAGATTAATACAAAGACAATTACTTCAAATTGATTTTTGAGAAAAATATCTTTCATTAAACAAGTTTTTACCAAACTATAGATGTAATTAATACTTATAAAAATACTTTTCAATGACATCAAATTTAAACTAAAATTTTTACCTGTGTTTGTGGATCAGAGCATTGAAAGCAAGCCCATCTCTCCAACTGGTGGTAAAGTTACGAATATTAACATTAGGATAGCCTGCTGTTTTCATCTGACACCACAACAATAAGGCATCTTTGGCTGATTTGGTTTCTTTACTGTCAACTTGTTCAATAGTAATATCTTGAATCTATAAAAATTAATTAATAAACTTAGAAATCCCCAAATAATCATATTTGGGCAAGTTTCTAAAATCTGTGCATAAACATATGAATTATGAAGCTAGGTATATCAAAATCATACTTAAAACAGAAAAAATATAAGAAATTTTAAATTAGTGGTAGCTAAGTTACTTCTTTTCATATATTAGGATGAAAAATGGAGAAAATAAAGCTCACTAACAACACCTTCTGTGTAGAGTATATATATCAAACAAAAAAAATAAAACATAGAAACAAGATTTCCATAAGGCCACATTTGCCTTATTACCTCAAATACATTAGTACTGATATTTTTAAGTTATACAATATCTAAAACTGAATTTGAACATAGCAAATTAATAAATTTGCTGACAAATTTAAGTGGTTATGCACACGAATAGAGAAAAGTTTTACTTGAAAACGCAAAATAATGGTCCAGATAAGACCAAGCGTCAGACGAGCACTTCCATCTACAATATCATGTGATCCAAGATTTTCGAGGTGAACTTTTTGGTCCCTAAGAAATTGGAGGGTCTTGTCAACATTTTCTAGACAATGAATTCTCATTTTTCCTTTTGTAGGTCTAGGCTGAAATGGTACCAAAAAAAAAAATTTGAAGAACCTATTCATATTATACAAAGTAGATGTTAACTACTATCCACTAAAAATGTTTGTTTTTTTGCTTCCAATTTCATAAATGTCTAGTATTTTAATTGTTAAAAGTAAATGTACCACCAAAAGATAAAAGTATTTTTATTTAAAATAGTAAAAGGTTTTAAAGTTACTGATGATGCTTCACAAAAATATTATGCCTGTATAAATGGCCTTCAAAAGGGTAATATTTTCCCTACCTGAAAGTGCATTTCAGATAGATACTCACCTCTCCACAGAACAGATACCTATTACCTCGTTCCACTAGTGTAAAGATTTTTGCATATGTGCCAAGCCTCAAATAAAACTTTCACCCCTAAACATATTAACATATACTGTGCCAATCTATGAAGCAATCAGCATTATAATGTAGCCCTCTAACAATAAAAGGGCAACACACCCTCCATATGCAGTAAACCCCATTAGCACCTTGTGTATTAACAAAGGCAATAGAAACAAACTGGAAGCAGGAAGGACGGGTGGGAAGATCTGTGGAGAAGTGATATCTATTAGAAATACATTTACATGTAAAGAAAATGTTAACGTGAGAAATGCTACTCACCTCTCCATCCAACACATAGCTAGAATCCCACATTGATAAAATAGTGGAAGGACCAGTGTAGATAAAATTAAAACAGAGCTCTTTTCTGATGATACAGCATCAGAAATCAAAAACTTATAAACAGAGTCACTCACTAGAATGGGGGAGGATCTGGTGGGGCATCACTTAGTAGGAGACTACATCCAGCTCATGCAGGGAATACTCAACAGAGGCAGTAGAGCAAATGGTACAGTCAAAAAAACTTCCTGCATGGTGCTGAAGTGTCACATATGTGGGAAGAATTAGTGACTGCTCAATCAGCCTGTATATCTCAGATGCTCAGCAGAGTATGTATGTGTAGTGTGGCTAGAGCAATAAGTCAGCTCATACAGTATTGGATACATTTTTTACCAGAATAAGCAGGTGCAGTGGGAAGAATCAACCCAGACCTGCTTCTTGAGAAGAATACAAGACCTATCCAGCTGGCACAACCATTGGGAATGGCCTGGTTCTTAGTGTAGGAGGCAGTCTGAACAACACTTCCATGTAAACAGCCCAGCCCTACTTCTGATCAAGAGGTGCATCCATTCAGTCTCACACTAGTAGGATTACACCAATTTAAAGGGGAATCTCCATATCAACCTCCCCAACAGCTTGAAACTAGGAAAGTAAATGTTCTCCCTTTACTTCATTAAACGAGAATAAGATGGAGTAATATGCTTAAGAGAGAATGCTGGAAAGTTGCTTGGTCTAAACAGGAATCATCACATCTGCAGAAAGTTGCACACTGATAAACTGTACAACGGGTTATTACCACAAATAGGGACAGCAGGCACTTCACAGTCTGTTATTCTCTTCTTGATGTAAATTTTGGGAGAGAGAAATATTCCCTGTAAAGCATCACTAGTCACGTCACGGCCTCCATTGTCTCCAGAATATAGATATACATAAATAATAAAATGGTTATGGGAGCTGCAAAAAAAAAGAATAATTAACAACTCCCCACATTAGAGCTTCTGTGAAGATTGAAAACTGGTGACTGAAGTGAAGCAAAAACCAGAAGCAGATGAAATTGCACTGTAGTGTAAGTAATGTAACATAAAGGTGCCGAAAGTTGTATACATCCATAACTGTAATACCTCATCCAGAAGACATCATTAGCTAGAGGCAAACAAAGCCATGACATGACAAACTTGATGTGAGCTGACATGAAAGAGAAGAATAAGCTAGCTGATTGAATTGTTTAACACAATCAGTCAAAGTAGAAAGAGTTAAATTACAAGAGGAAGAGGACTCTCATGGCAAGAAAAAACTATTGAATGCCTCAAAAAAGGAGAAGTATGAGCGAGATAACAAAGAAATGCCCTGACAGGGTATATAAAAAAAAAGATAACTGAGATCAGAACAATCATACAGAAAAGGAAGGAAAGGTGACTCGAGAAAACATCTGATTGCCTCCCAGGCAACCGAAGTCTCACAGAGAAAGGAACAGTTTAGTAATAAAATTAATCTATCCCTGTGGTATAGAGTGTGAGAGGCATTCAAGGCAAAAATATTTGAGCTACATTTCCCACAAGCAAAAAGTAGAAGGAAATATGTCTGAAGAGAATGATAGTACAAGAAACAAGTGGCCAAAGATCTGAATGGGAAACATTTCAGAGCCCAGAAAACAAAACAGAGGTTCCAGTCTGAAAGAGGAACCAGATGAGAATGGCAATTAATAAAAATGGCCCAGAAAAGATCTGTAAAAAAAGGAAGGGACAGAAGGTTGTTGATAAAGTCATACTGTGGATAAACTGAAAGAAGAAATCAATGGGTAGACAAACTGGAATATGTACAAAAGCATCTGAGACACTGATCTGCATCATCCACATCCTGGGAAAAAGTATCCAATCTCTCACCTTTGAACAAAAAGACAGAAGTCAGACCTCACAGTGAGGTCAAGGAACTGTTGCACAAAAAAGGTGGAAAACAAGAGGAGAAGGAGAAAGAGGAGGTTGAGAGAGAAAGGTCAGGGAAAATCCTTATGTGACCCAATGGTCTTCTGCAAAAGGAGTCCACAGGTGTGTAAAGTGGAAGAGTTGAGTTGTCACTGTAACAAAGCTAAAAGGTGGCTCCAGAAACAAGTCACCTCCAAGACCAGCAACAATCTGCCCTCTGAAATGGACAAATGTTGGAAAATAACAATAGGATGAGGAGAAGGAAAGAGGGTGATCTTAGGAGGCTCCTGAGGAATGAAACTTGTTGGAATCCCCTAGTTTAAAAAAAAAGTGGGAAAACCAAGTAAGCAGACATAATTGATGACAAGCTGTACCTACTCAACATTCTAAAGCATAAGGAACTCCCTACAAAACCTCATCTCAAAGAAAAAGGTACAACACAGATATCTGTGAGATAAGATAATAGGAACCAAACTCCAAAAAGGAGAAAAGGATATCCCAAACTGGAATAAGAGATTCAAGGAATGAAGAATAATCTCAATCACCTCAAGGTGTGAGAGGACAAGGGATCTAGGAGTTAGTAGAAAGGTGAAACAAAAAGGTATTGGTATGTGCACAATTATAAGGAGTGGGTGAGAGAGAATATAGCCAGAAGAACACAATAAGATAGCCCAAGATTCAGTTAAAAACAATGGGAAATACACCTGTGTAATCAAAGCAGCAAAGGACAAAGGTGGAATTACCTGGTTCTCGTTGGGTAGAGAGGAACCAGAAGCAAACACACTTGGCAGAAACAGCTGGTTAAGATTATTGAAATATGAAATAGGCTCAACTGAAGCTAAAGGTTGGGAATTCTAAGTCCAATGTGAAGAAGGTAGAATGGAACCAACCACCTGATGCACAATGGAAGTAACATCACTGACCATCAAGGTACCGTCAGTCTCCATTGCAAAAAAAGACAACTCCTATTTGGAAGTATTTGTACTTCAGAATGTGCCATAAACATGAATATGCAAATTCATAATACAACAAACAACCCACAAAACCATTTCCATTTTTTTTTCTTGTCATTAATGTATAAGAAAGAATATATTTTGTCCTTATGTGAGATCAAGAGGCAATATGTCAAATGGTTTCTTAACTCAAAACTAAAATAATAAGCACAATGTAAAAAACTTCTGTAATTCTGGAAAAAAGAATTTATTAATCAAGCAAGGCTGAAAAAAATAAACCATTGTTAATACACATGGTGCTCATAAGGTCTACTGTGCATAAAGGATGTATCACCATTCTACTGATATGGGCTTTAGTATGATAATGGTTGCATCATAGACTGGTGCAGTACACTTTAATGTGTGTAGGGGTGGAAATTTCATTCAAGGCTTAGTACATGTACAAAAATCTTTTCAGCAGTGGTATGAGGTAATAGCTGCATGTTACATAAAGAGGTGAGTAACATTTATGAATATACATCTTTTATTATCTATGCTTCTTCTTCTATGATACAATGCATTTATCTTAAAATTTAAATGTAACATAACACTAGTATATGCACTGCTAACACAAAATTACACTTTTTTTATCTGTATTTCTTTTATAAAATTGAAGAAGCATTTTAAGACCTGATGCATTTATTTTTTCCTTCTTCATTAAAAGAAGTCACATTGTTTACCTTTCACTTGTGAATATTACTTAGCCATTCAGTCATATATTATAATTACAAACGTTTTGAAGTGGATCTTCACCCAACCATACACTGATCATTTTTGGAACAACCCAATGAATAATACAAAATCACTACAACTACCAGAATCCTAAATGGATGATAAACAGTTTGTCTATAAAACTTGTTTAAAACCAGAGGCATATATTACATATAGGTTAAAAGTCACATGACTACACAAATTTTCTTAAAAAGAAAAATAATTAATTAATAGACAGAGCTGTACAGAAAGAACTTTGAAACAAACCCCACCTCGCATCTTCCAAGCTTACACAACAAATTGAGATGTGTCAATAAAAATAATATAGTATTTTCTTATCACTGCTGCTCGTGAAAACAAACTCAAAATATAAAAGTAAATTACAGAATTAACTGAAACCTATGCACATTCCTCAGTGATCTCAAAAACAGACTGTGAAATGTGCAAATATGGGAATTACCTTTGAAACTCAGTAATATCTAGTATGTGATCATAGCTATTAAATACAAGTACATAAAAAAATTGAATTCTATAATTTTATCAGCACTTCAGAATTCTTTTATATACTTTTGAAAGCAATTTGAAAAGAAGAACCTAGAATACTAAGTCTTACGAGAGGCTCTCCTGAAAGAATCTCCAATAGTTTCATCAACATCCTTCCATCCCTCATGTCAGTATACAAGTCAGTAATCTTGCAATTAGCCCGTACTAAATGGGAGTTTACCCATTTGCAGAATGTTTTCTTCTGAACTGTTTCTCTTTCATCTAAATGTTGGATGATAAATTGGACCATATATGAAAAGTATAACCAATCTACTTAAATTATTCTTGTTTATAAGAAATAATAATAAATCATTGTATTATGCTAAACTGGTAAAAGGTTTAATAAATATTGTTGCAACAAATATTAGTAAAACAGATAATTGAGCAAAACATCACTATTCAAGATACATTATGTGAAACAAAACTCTCGTTGAAAGTTACATTAATATAGATTTCTGCTCTAATCCTAGTAGTTTGAAGTAGAACCAGAACACTTTCTGCTAAAACCATATATATGTGTTCAAGATGAAGCTAGACAGCCAAGAGCCAAATATCCCTTGATCTCTGCGACATTATTACAGTGATACAATACATTGTAATGTGTGTAAAACTATTTTGAAATTGTCATTGAAAAATTTAACAAATATTAGGAACTATTATATTATTCTTCATATACATATTGCAGAAATATATTACTCAAAAATAGGTGACAGTGTACTAAATGTAAAAGGCAATATCACTTATACAAGTGACTGGAATATTTGCTTGTATTTTATCATTACTTGTAATAACAAATAGCATATATTAAATTCAAACATAGTAGCAGGTTACATAAACTAAAATTTAATTTAAAATATAAGCTTACCTTTTTGTTTTGTAAGGTTCATCAAAAAACAACTCCTAGTGTTCAACTACACAGTAAACTACCTAACAGCACACTGAATGTATACAATTATAAAATTAAGTTAAATATAATGTTACATATTTCAAAATTTATTCTAATCCAATTCAAATATTGTTCTTTTTGATGCTCTTAAGATACATTAGTTTAAAATGTTATAGCAACTAGCATCTAAAGTTTTAAAAATAACAATATTATGGTCAGCTTTGAAAAAATATTTAAAGTATCTTGGATCAAAATGATGAACATTTGTAAAGTGAATGCTCCTATGATTCAGGTCCTTGAATTAACTAGAATACTATGTATCCTTCCTTATCAATCAACAACATGGTATCAGAAATAACTTTTGTGAAATTCACAGATTTTCCACTACACATTAAATATTTCACTTTTCATAAAAAAAAGCAAAACAAACTGAGAAATTATACCAGCAAGTGCTTTGATTCGTGATCTTTCAAAGAGTCGTGAAGAGCTGTTTCCTCCATCATACTCAAAATCTTCCAGATCATGTTGCATCAGAGGGTCCCATCGAACCCCTACTGCAATATCAGTAGTCATGATGCAGACCTGTTAAGATCCAAATAATTATTACAGTTTCTTAATATGTAGCAGTATTACAAGATACTATTGTAAGTAAACACAAAAAAAAATCATTTTTATTTGAATTTTCAGTAAAAGAGTAAACATTGAACACTGAATCTTCTTGAAATCATGTAGTTATTATTTATTTTTTGTAATAAGGATAAATGTATTTACTTGAACAACACTTGAAATACAAAAAATTTACTTTATGTCAACCATTTGTTATACATACACATGCTTAAGTTGTGAACCATACAAAGAAAAACCCTGATTCAAGTTTCTTGGAAAATAAAGCTGGCCTCGTATGCTGATGAAATGTGAATATTTGTATCCTAATAAACTGACTTAACCTACATACTATTTGATTTATGTTTTACAATGAAAGTCTTGTTTTTAAACATTCTTCCAAAAAAGGGTGTCTACAACAAAAAAACAAGCAGAATTTTTATTTACTTTATAAACAGTAAAACTCGTTTTCTAATGCAAACAAGTCAGATGAGTTCTTCTTAAGCTCATATTATAAAAGACTAAATTAATCATTTATTATTCACTCACTAGACCATTCCATGTATATGTAGAAAAGTTAAAGATTTATACAATATATCTTTATAATTTTACATGTGTATAATAGCATACAAGATTTTTAAACATACAATGATAAATGTAATAAGTAATACCTTTAGCAGGTTATCCAAGATTCATAGAGAAATAGAAGTTTTCAGTTTAAGCCTAAGATGGATAAAAATCAAAAATAGTTTTGATTATACATTTGTTTATGGATTAACTTAAATTTACTACAAAGTTATAACTAACTTGTAACTTATGTATAATGCCAACTTGATAAACCTAAGTAAATAAACTGAAAATAATCATATATATATATATATATATATATACAACATAGGTGTGGGCTGAAGTAGGTGTGGGGCCTTGTACAAACTTATGAATGTGAAATCAATGTGCAGTTTGGTGGTCATGATTAACCTTGTTAATCCCCCATCTATTATATCAATCTGATAAATCAAACTTTAAATAAAAAAGCATAAGAATAGAATACCTCATAATAGCTAAGGATTAAATGTTTTATTCAAAATATATTTTTAACAGGCGTAAGACAAAAGCCTGGTGAAAATTATGACACCTCAATATCTTGAGATTGCCTAGTATAATATTAAACTGAATTATTTATACAATAGCAATTGATAATTATAATCAATAGTATAAAATAAAGGGCTTAACATGAAAAAATTAAATTTAAATTTAAAAAATAATCCTTGTTCAATTGCAGGATTGTGTGTAGCTGCACTGCTGACACCTCCCTAAAATCACCTCTGATGTAACAAAATTCATAACTTATTTCAATCTTAAACTTAGTAAGGTAGGTATCAAGAATAATAGTACAAATAACCATACACATATCAAATGAGTTAAATTTATAAAATTCAAATCTTATCTGAGGAAATTATATCTTATCATTCTTCGTAGTACCTTCAGTGCTTCACTGTACCAGAAGATTAATGTTGATCCAAAATGGTGTTTAATAAAATGGAAATTCATGTATGAAAGTAGATGGCAAAATAGACAAGTTATGAAAATAAAATTAACATATAGTGAAAAATTTTAAATATTCTCTCTTATATTTCATAAGTTGCTGTACTATAATAAAGTGTTATTAGACACAAGCTCATAAATATATTTCATATAGTAACTATTCTCTTTCAAATGCATTCATATACTCAAACATAACTTGAGGCACCATAATTTGTATGTTTAAAACTGATTCTTAACCTTACAATCTTACTTAGCTTAAAAAAGGAAAAAAAAAAACACAGGTAAACTTATTTTCATATTCACCTTACTATTAATAGTTTCTTCTTAAAATTGTATACTAGGTACCTTTTAATAAATGTCCAATAATCATGTCAAGTTTTGTTAAAGAACATAAATGTACATCAACCAGCTAACCAACTCCTCAGCATTCCAGATTATAGTACTGTTGTCTAATATTAATATTTGTTGACATTTTGTATTTACCATACCTATTTTCCATCCATTTTTATTTTAACTCTAAAGCCTTATTTGGGAAAACATATGCAATTTTTGTCTCATTACTGAAGAAAGGATATTAAAAATATCTAAAAGTGTGCAGCAAAAACAGGCTACATTAAGAAATTTAAGTTACAAAAAAAGAAGCTTTACAAGTTTTACATTTTTTCTCTCCGAAGGATAGAATTAGTGGTGACTTTACTCGGATGCTTAAAATTGTTACAGGTGTAGACAACCTGCTTGTGTTTGTTTGAGTGGTGGAATGAGAAGGCTGTAAATACAAACTTGAGTAACAGTTTAAGCCAAGGAAGCTCTAAATATAAACTTGTCATTTGGAAAAATCATTTAACAGAGTTTTATATCAGCTGAATATTTTGTCTGATTACAATGTGTGTGTGTTTTTATTATAACCTTTGTTACATAGTCTATATGGATGTAAAGTGGCTACATGGGTAAAGCTTTGATATGGTAAGGTGACCTCAACGAGCTAAATGGTCTTCTGATAGCTTTCTCTTTCTTATATCTTCATCATATTAAACGATATTAATCATAATGTAGACATATATAAATATATGTTTGCTCTTCTAGCAATTGCCTCTGTTATATACATCATACAGGATCTCAGTCAAAAGTTGTTCAAGATACCTTATATTTTTAAGTACATAGCCAACAATTAATTTACAATTGTGGAGTGTTCTTAAACTTTTCTATTAGCTCTCACAGTTTTCAATAAATATGTTTAAACATCACATGCATTTGAGCACTTGACCTATATGACTATATTAATTATTATACTAGATTAGTGCATACTGTGTACCTTGCTTTCAGTCAATGCAAGAAGTTGAATGACGTAATAACTAAAATTACTAACTGATACGTTCTTTTTTATCTACTACTGAGTAATAGCGCAACTCAAATTTCAAATAACTTAAGTTTTTGCAATTTAACTAGCTATGAGACTCAAGAGTAGGATAAGCTGTGCTCATAATCATATTTGCTAACTCATTAATTGCGTTTAACTTTGGTAGTGGTAGTGTTCAATAATATCAAAATTACCACTACTACTAGTATTACTCTTAAGTAATTAAGAGTACAAGTTGTAGTATAACTAGTACTAGGAGTAATAGTAATTTTGATTTTTAATTTCAGAACCTCTGATAGTACTGAACTGAGTGTGACATAGTTGGGCTAAGTTAATCAGATTAACATTAATGATTAAGCTAGAACTGGTGTGTAGGTAGTCTGTACTAGAGTCTATAGTTATTATACTATAAGTACAACCTCGTCATAATCATAGGATATATATAATATCAATAAAACATAAACCTCGTGAAAAAACAGGCGCATATTAAAATTAAAACATGTTGTTATAAAGTTATACTACTAACAGTTAGTTGCTTATACTAAAAATATTCAAGCTAGACCAATCTCATTAATTAACTGGTTCAAAATAAACTGCTTTTATAATTCATTAATATTCTGTTACTCAAAATGGACAACGTAGAAAGCATCTTACCGACGTATAACTTATTCTTAAGATACACCGCACTTAGAAACTACCGCGAGTTAGATTACGTCTCTTACTAAGCGTTGTTTGGTTTCTCAGCAGCCCCTCCCTCATGCGCAATAATATTATTACTCAACCCCACCTGTCGACTGATCGACTATCTGCTTTAAAACTAAAGAGTTGGTTAAAACGCTGAAGATATAAACATATAACACAAATTGTAAATTACATACTAATTACTAGGATTAAAAACTATAGTCAATTACTCTTTTTATTTAAACACACAAAAATCAAGGAACTATATGTTTTGAACTATAATATTGCACTCATGTGAAAGGGCTGAGATCATCGTCTGCTCCTACTGGCTGTGCTTATTTTTATGAATTAATATAAAAAAAGTACGTATAAACATTTGATAAGAAATATATCATCAATAACTTTTTCAAATATTAATCATAATTAAGACGCCATTTGTTTTATCCACATGATCTGTATTTTAACTTAAACTAACTGTTTTATTCATTGATGCTTTTATTCAAAATAAATAAACGTATATAGTTATTCCTACTTTAGCAGTTGCGAGTATATAGAGTATAAACTAATATAAAGAGCAATATCAAGTGACAATAATAACATGCTTAAATAGGAAAAAGTCAGTAACTGGTGACTGCAATTTTTATTTGTTCAAATCCACAGCTTCAGACCGATCATATATCGTGTTTTCACTGAAATATTGGCAGGGTATATTCTCATAAGCATGTTTATACCTTTTGTAATTAAACATCGGGAAGTGACTTTCAAGGTCCAATACTAACCAATTTGTAAAAGTGTTCTAAATCTCACAAAAATAATTTTGATTGGATCCACAATCAAGAGAAAAGTGTATAGTACGTCAAGTAAGCCTTGACCTGCTGCTCAAGCCACCCACTCAGTTTTACTGAAGCTTGCGACCATGTGAGTGCATGTTTGTCATCACCAGACTTAGCCATGAGTAGGAAGTAAAGATAATCACAGTACAATTTGTCCTTTCTCAGTCAAAAGGTATTTCTATTTAAATTAGTACAATTGAAATATACTCAAGTCAAGGAGACCGAGGCCTTTGCAATTTTCAAACGCATGTTGTTTTGTGGGTATGATTGTTTGTAGTTGATATTGTTCAAACGCATAACTTCAGATAAAATCAAATCCTAAAAACCACATTTATAACAAATAGTAAATCCAAGTTTATGTTAGTCTAAATGTCAGTTAAGTAAGTAGAGAAAAATCGTACCCTAAATGCCAAAGGGTTGTACTCAACTCAGTACTCCAAGTTTTAGTTGGAAAAAAGGCTTAAGGGCAAATAAGTTGAGTTAATCATTTTTATTGTTTTTATGATGGATACAAAAAATTGTGTCTTGTTTCAACAAGCTAAAACTAGAGTATGTTTTATAAAACAGGCTGCATCAGCAGAATATGTGCGAATTACTTAAATTTCAAATATATTTACGACGTGGTTATATGAAACTAATAATAATATAATAAGTCAAACTATCAGCCCCACTAATGAATATGCAACAAATCTTTTTATCCATGAATTTACATCTAGCATTTAATACTGAGAGAACAACTTATTTCTAGAATATTCGGTTTCATCAACAATTCATAAATTTATAAAGAAAAGTTATGTTACGTAAGTATATACAAATATGTATGTTTAAGAGGCATATTTCAACATACTTAAATGATGTCCCGACCATACCAGCTAGAAAACTATATACTAACTTATAATTTAAACATCAATAAACAATAAGTTTAGAAAATAATATTTTTACTCACTCAACATTGTTTTTTTTTTCATTAATGTTAAGAACTCTGTTGAAGAACGCTGACATCTTTTTTTTTCTTCAATTCTTTAGTATTTCGACATAGTTTTTTTTCTCTTCCATCATGTTCTACTCGAAAGATATATTTATTTTTATGAACCTGAATTTATGCTATTAGTCAGGTTTCGGTGTTGTAGATGATCTTCATGATGTCATTATTCTTTTACCTTCGTTTCTTCTGGCAAATATGACTACCGTTACCTTTTATTTCTTTTTTTTCCTTGTTTTCGATATCCAACAAACCTACTGCCTCATTCAGAATCTGTTTCACGCTATGAAAACACGGTACACAATGAATCTCGTTGTTTAAAAGTCAGATCGTTGGCTGACTTTCAAAAAGGTATAATCGTTTATTAGTACAAATGTAAATTATATCAGCATGTGACAAACCAGATCTCGATTTTTTCACATTCTCATATTGCGTCAAGGTAAAAACTATAAGTAATGTATTACATATGAACAAATTAATATTACACTCATGTTTTATGTTTGAATTGTGTAAATATGGTGCATTTTTACTTTCCTTACACATTTATTTCCATACGTTGGCCCAGCATGGCCAGGTGGTTAGGGCGCTCGACTCGCAATCTGCGGGTCGTGGGTTCGAATCCCAGTCACGCCAAACATGCTGGCCCTTTCAGCCGTGGGGGCGTTATAATGTGCGATCAATCCCACTAGTCGTTGGTAAAAGAGTAGCCCAAGAGTTGGCGGTAGGTGGTGATGATTAGCTGCCTTCCCTCTAGTCTTACACTGCTAAATTAGGGACGGCTAGCGCAGATAGCCCTTGTGTAGCTTTGCGCGAAATTAAAAACAAACAAACAAACAATTTCCATGGGTTCTTTCCTCTACAACATTTTGTAAATTCTCGGGTTCATTTCTTTCCTTGTATCTACATTTGTATCAGAACTTCAAAACACGGGTAAACTGAATCACAATAACAGTATTATCCATAGATGTAATAACACTAGATTGGAAGTCACTTGATTTTCGGCATGCGCAAGCGACCGCTACTACTACGTGTTGAACTTTCAAAGCCCACCAGTCGAACTAACAATGGCAGGTGATCTCACTTCACAACTGCCTCCTAGTGGCACAGCGGTATGTCTGCGGACTTACAACGCTAGAAACCGGGTTTCGATACCAGTGTTGTGCAGAGCACAGATAGCCAATTGTGTAGCATCAAACTAACAAAACTAAAACTTTACAACTTATGACCGTTTCCCATCTAAATTAGACGTTTGGATAATTTTGTTATTTGGTTTTAATAAATTTGTCAAGCCAAGATGATCTAAATCTGATTTTAACTTAGAAATTAATGCAAAAGTCGTTCACAAAACATACATATCTGACTTGTCATATGAAGAATGCATCGGATTTTAGCCCACAGGGTAATCTTAAGATTAAAATATTTTCTTTTTCCTCGGTGTTTATTATGTGTCACAGAAAAATATACATCTCAAATATTGTTGCCAATGAACAAGTGGTGACACATCATATCCTTTTTCTAGGGTGGGTGGAGAAGAATGGTTGTTATGTATCTGCACCTCCAAACAATCAACGTTCTTAAATGAAGTGGATTGAAATAATTAAGATAATTTATGATATAAATATAATAAAATTCATTCGTACTTATTTGAGAATTTGTGGCAAAAGTAATTACAAATGTTTGAAAAAATTTATATTTATATAAAACATGAAGTCCAAAAGAAGTAACACAAATCATTATACGTTTTTCATAAATGATGCATTACATATACTATACTGGATCTAAAGACAATAAATTTAGCAATGTTACTCTTTTATCCTCTTTTTACCAAGTTATGACCGAACGGTCATGTTCTCCTCCCCTCCCTTCACCTGCTACTAGATCTTTTTGGATCTGAGCCCATGTACACTGAGTGGTCATAAGTAAATAGACACCTAATTTTTCGTCATTTAACTGATTTATGCTAACTAATTTG